AGGAGGAGGGAGAGGAGAAGAGGAGGGAGAGGAGGAGGAGAAGAGGAGGAGGAGGAGAAGGAGGAGGAAGAGAAGAGGAGGAGGAGAAGAGGAAGAGGAGGAAGAGGAGGAGGAGAAGAGGAGGAGGAGGAGGAGGAGGAGGAGGAGGAGGAGATGGGCCAGCTGGTTTCTGGGGTGCCTTCCCTCCCGAGTAGCATCATGCTGCACCCCAAGGAATCTTGATTCTCATGGCCAGGTCTCTTCTTGGCCGCCCAGACGAGGCTTCTAGCGTGCCCTCTTCTCCCTGCAGGCCCACTTGGGCTGCAACAGGCACCCCATTTCTCTCTGAAAGTCCTCTGGAGCATAGAACCTTCCCCCTCTTTATCCAATTGATTTCCTCCTGTGCTCCTTGGAGGTTTAGAATGTGAGACCCAAAGGCCTCAGCTGCTGCCAGGACGGAGAACAGATTCATTCCTAGTCGTTCCTCCCCTTTGCCCAGGTTAGCCAGCTGGTGCCCTTGTGGGTGGGTATTGTTCCTTAGCATCTTGAGGCCGGAGTGGGTGGGTGGGTGGGTGGGGGGATCATGACACAGACTGGGAAGCGTCTTAAATGTTCTAGAAGGAGGAAGAAAGTGAATTAAACATCAGGACTGCAGTATTTGCTCGGATAAAGAACCCCAATGAAGCCAGAATATTTGCAATCGGCATGGGCTTTATTGGAAAAAAAAACAACGGCATCCTCTCCCGTGGAATATTTTCCTTCTTTCATGCCACAGGCAAGAAAAAAGGCAAGGGAGGCGATCTTTGCTAGTCACGAATACATGCCACTGCTTTTCTTTTTTTAAAAAAAAAATCTTTTGTAGCTTTTATTAGCTAATCACGGTAACTGATTTGCGGCCCACCAGCCTCGCTGCCCATTGCAAAACCTGTTTCCTTCCCTTCTGCAGCTTCAGCTGGCAGTTCCCTCCTGAACAGCCCGATCCCGGAGAAGGAACGACAGAACATAGCGGAGCGGCTGCTGAGGGTGATGTGCGCCGATCTGGGGACGCTGAGCGTGGTCAGCGGCAAAGAGTTTGTCAAACTGGCGCAAAGTCTGGTGGACAACGGCGCTCGCTACGGCGCCTTCTCCGTTACGGAGATCCTGGGCAACTTCAACACGCTAGCCCTCAAGCACTTGCCCCGGATGTACAACCAGGTGAAAGTGAAGGTCACCTGCGCGCTGGGCAGCAACACCTGCTTGGGCATCGGCGTCACCTGTCACTCGCAGAGCATCGGCCCCGATTCCTGCTACATTCTGACCGCCTACCAGGCGGAAGGCAGCTGCATCAAGAGTTATGTCCTGGGGATCAAAGGGGTGGACGTTCGCGATAACGGGGATTTGGTCCACCACTGGGTGCAAAACGTGCTGTCCGAGTTCGTTATGTCCGAGATCCGGACCGTCTACGTCACGGACTGCAAGGTGAGTTCCTCTGCGTTTTCCAAGGCGGGCATGTGCTTGCGCTGCTCTGCGTGCGCTCTGACCTCCGTGGTGCAGAGCGTCCTTAACAAGCGCACCCTCCAAGCGCGCAACATGCACGAGGTCATTGAGCTGCTGAACGTCTGCGAAGACCTGGCGGGCTCTGCAGGGATCTCCAAGGAGACCTTTGGCTCCCTGGAGGAGACCTCCCCTCCCCCCTGCTGGAACTCCATCACGGACTCCCTGCTGCTCGTCCACGAACGCTACGAGCAGATCTGCGAGTTTTACAGCCGGGCCAAGAAGCTAAACCTCATCCAGAACCTCAACAAGCACCTGCTGAGCAACCTAGCGGCCATCCTGGCTCCGGTGAAGCAAGCCGTCATCGAGCTGAGCAACGAGAGCCGGCCAACGCTGCAGCTGGTGCTGCCCACCTACGTGAAACTGGAGAAACTCTTCACCTCAAAGGCCAACGACGCGGGCATCGTCAGCAAGCTGTGCCACCTCTTCCTGGAAGCCCTGAAGGAGAACTTCAAGGTGCACTCGGCGCACAAGGTGGCCATGATCCTGGACCCTCAGCAGAAACTCCGGCCGGTGCCCCCTTACCAGCACGAAGAGATCATTGGCAAGGTGTGCGAGCTGATCCACGAGGTGAAGGAATCCTGGGCCGAGGAGCCCGATTTCGAGCCCGCCTCCAAAAAATCCCGGACTTCAAGCGAAAACTCTCCAACTCGGGAGGAAGACCGCTTGGGCAAAAGCGAGGTCTATGATTACTTGCAGGAGCCCATTTTCCAGGCAGCCCCTGACCTCTTCCAGTACTGGTCCTGCGTGACGCAGAAACATACCAAACTGGCCAGGCTGGCCTTCTGGCTCTTGTCGGTGCCCGCTGTGGGGGCCAGAAGCAACTGTGTCAACATGTGCGAACAAGCCCTCCTGATTAAGAGGCGGCGGCTGCTGAGTCCTGAGGATATGAACAAACTCATGTTCTTGAAGTCCAACATGCTTTAAAACTCGGAGGGCGGGGTGGGGGTGTGTGTGTGGGGGGTGACCTGGAGGGAGTGGCACCCTTCCAGAACGTGCCCCCACGACCACCACATGCAAACACTGTTCCAAATCCAGAATCCACTGTGGACCTCATTCGGAACGCCCCGGGAAAAGGGGGGGGGGAAAGTGCTTTTGATACACATATTGATACCTCTATATTGATATGGATATAAAAAGCTCCGTTGGGAAGGGATGCACCCGTGCTAAAAACACACTCCTTCCTTTAGATTTCTGTCTGAACTTGACATCACCTCCTCATGTCTTTCAAGAGGGCAGGCCAGTTACTCGGGGGTCTTTAGGCAGCTTCTAAATTAACTTGAATGGTCATTTCGTAATTCCTCTTTTTAGAAATCACACACACACACACACAGCCCCAACCAGCCAACCTTCTCCTTTCCTGTTCTCTCTTTTTGAGCCCGGACAGCAGCCTTTGCTGACCTCTGCCAGGTTTTTTTTGGCCACACTGGATGGCTCCTCCTGTGAGCTGTGTGTCCCACAAGAGGGGCATTCAAAGGTTTCCCTCTTGGCAAACGTAAAACACACGTCATGTTTGCAGGCAGCTAGAAACTTCCCAAGTCAGGAATGGAGACTTGAAGAATTAAAAAGAAAAAAAATCCAGGGGGAAAAAGAAAGGCTACCTGATTTTGATATCAGTGGCTTGACTACTCTTAAGGAAAAATTTTAAAAAAAAGGGGTGGGTGGGTGGAGTTTTGATTAAAACCTGAAAGAATATTTTGCAGAAAAGAATACGAAATCCTCCTTGTCAAAGCCCTTGCTAGCTGCTCTGACTATACTTGGTGACATGGGGGTTTCTGTCTGTTGGCTTGGGAAGAGGCACGGAGGGGGGTGTTTCTCGTCACCCCGAAATGCCGCCCATAAAGCAACAGTAGGAACCGCCTCCCTGCCAGACCACCTGCCTCACGCCTGTCCCTCCTCCCGATCTCCAGAAGACACTTCGCTGTGTGAGAATGGCGTTTTTCTTTTTTGATATTCTTGTCCAGTTATTCCACGTTACTCAGAGCAATAGCTGACTTCGAGGCAAGTTGTTGTCCTTTGAGCATTCGTGTTTCTTGCTGGCGAGGAGGCAGGAGGTAAGCGCAGAGCCGAGGTGCTGGGATTCTGCTGGCACACCTGGTTTCTCTTGGGTTGCACCTGGTGGTGGTGATGGGGACGCCTTTAGTTAGGCAGAACCAAACGGCAACACCTGTCAGTTGGCGGCTAGTGGAGGCTGGGTGCAGTTTTGTTACCATGTCGTTGTTTTCCTTTCAAGGTATTGTTGGCAAGAGGGGTGGAATCTTACCTACTGCCCCTGGAGGTGGTCCTCATCCCGCCATCCATGCTGGGTGGGGCACACACCGCCTGGCCCTCAGCTGAGCCACCCCAGCATGGCGTAGTAGGGACCTGTCCCTTTTCTCTCTTATGCCTGCTCCTCCTACCAGCCAGGGGTGGGATTCAAATTTTTAAACACCTGGCTCTGTGGGCGTGGCTTAGTTGGCGGGCGTGGCTTGGTGGTCATGTGACTGGCTGGGTGTGGCCAACTCCATATCACATCAAGGCACGCATCTCCTCGCCTGGCCTCTCGTGACTGTGGGGATGCTGCAACAGTCGTAAGTGTGAAAAATGGTCATAAGTCACTTTTTTCAGTGCCATTGTAGCTTTGAATGGTCACTCCACACAAGCAAAGTACCAGCAAAGGAGGGGAAAAAAACTCCAGAGACGTTCCTGAGACAGGAAGTCTAGTCCTGCCAAGAATGTAATAAGGGTTAACGGAGAGGCAGTTTCTGTAAGCAACACCAGAATGTTTCCTTCCTGCCTTCCTTACAGGATTAGCCCAGTAATTTCTTCTAACAACCGGTTCTCCGAACTGCTTTGAATGTTAACAACCGGTTCTAGCGAATAGGTGCGAACCGGTAGAATCCCACCCCTGGATTCTTCCCACCACCACCACACACACACACTAGAGTGACCCACTGCTGCCTTTGCTGCCCCCCTCTTCAACAGGATGATATGGGCCGTTTCCTTCTGAGGGCAGCTTAGTAGTTGCCCTGTTCCATGTTGCACATCCGAGCTTTAAAGTCTGCATAGGCCAGGCAGCGTCTCCACCAGGAGATTACTGTGATCTTTGGTGAGATTTAGGTTATTGTAACTCTGGCCTTACTAAGTTGTTTTTGTCACCCAGATACCCGGACTGGGCCTCTTTTTGGAGAGCTTTTGATTCTGTTTCTCCTGCTGGTCTCTTCTTCGGGTCTCTTTCCCTTCCTCCCCTGGGACACAGAGGTTCCCGTGAGCATATGTTAAACTCTTTGAATGCTATTAAGTTTAAGCAAAAATTTAATCTCCCAAGAACAATTGCTCACTCTTTTAAATCTGCCTTAGGTGTTCTCGTAGATCCGGTTGTTACAAATTTTCATCCTTAAGCAATGCAGGCCCAGCACGATAAATAGAAGATAAGAGGAATCCCATTCTGAATTTTTGGAACTATTTTAAAATTCCTGAATTCTGACGTGGCAAGAGAATGAAATGCACGACAGTGCTCAGGTATCCCTCTGTTTGGGGTGGACAGGCAGGGCCTCCTCTGCCACGAATTCCGAGACTCCAGGGATGCGGGAGAGAAAAGATCCTGTGGAGTGGGGAGCAGTCAGATATACAAGGAAGCCCCTAAGGGTAACTCCAAAGCTAATTAAGTTTTTGTGCTAGAAACAGCAACGGTGGGGATGCAACAACTTCACAAGCAACAGGAATGTCAGGGTAAGAAGAGAATATCCAGACAAACCTTGTGCGTATTGAGGAAGAAGCTGGGACAAAGCCAGAATCTGGAGCAATGGTGTGAGAGATTCTGAAGTTGCAGATAAATTAGCTCCGCTGCTGCAGGTGCGGAGTTGGTTCAACCCCGTTGCCAGCTTCCTCTGACTGGTGATGAGGAAGCCAGGAGCCCCACTTTCAGCAGTCACAGTTGCAGGGCTTGGTTGGGGGTCCGAAGTGGAGGAGCTGAATGCCAGCCAGTGACGTGGCTTCGGAAGAAGACCCCTTGTGCTCCATCTGCAGCCTTGCTTGCAGCCACCAAAGCGGGCCGTCTGTAGGGTTGGCCAGCCACCTCTAGGCCTCTCCTGCTGTGGCTTAGGCCCCTGTGTGCCATGCTCCGGTGCCAGGAGGGAGGCTGCCTCAACAGTGCCCTGAACGGCCAGTGCAAGGTGCCCATCTCCGCTTCTCAAAATAGGTGAGTCCCAGCCACCGTGAAGGACTTAGGGGGGGTGGCATGGGGTTCCCTGAGAAGTCATGCCTCCTTTTTCCTTGCCCTCGGGCAGGCAATTTCCAGGGCGATGAGTTTTTTAAGCATGCATGTTTTCTAAGACTGGAAAGCAATCGCTCCTAAGAGCAGGATCCAGGAGCCGAAGAGTGCTTACCTCCGCCGTCGCCCAGTCGAGGGCTGAAGCTGATGCAGCCATCTTTAGCATGGGAGAGGGGGACAACCTCATTGGGGGCCGCAGGGCAGTGGCTGGGTAGGAGGGTGAAGGACTTATTGGGTTGCTGGAAAGGGCTCAAAGTTCTTGTGGGCACGTGTTCCAAGGATTAGGGGAGGCTTCCTCCTCCTCCTCCTCCTCCTCCTCCTCCTCCTCCTCCAAGCAGATGGGGCCGATGCCAACTTGAAGAAATGACCCCTCTTCACATTTTCTACCTCTTTGGTGTTTTCTTGGGAGCTTCCTCTGTCTGCCAACTGCCAACTTCTGCTGCAAGAGGAGGGTTGGCCCCTTGGGTAGAGTCAACCCATTGTCGATCACTTCCATGGTGTGGAGGTTAAAACTGCGGTGAACGTCAGCAGCCGGGCAGCCTGTTAAGACCCCTTCCCTCCCTCCCTCCCCCTTGTGAAATTGGGATGGTGGTGTGGAAAGGCCCAACCAGGCCTGGCACGGAGGAAAAAGCACCTGCATTGCACCTGTGTGTGTGTGTGGGGGTAGTTTGGTTGTTCTGGCAATATGAGATGCTTCCGAGACGGCATCTTTGCTACCTTGGGAGAGCTGCGTAAATCGAAGCGTCATCTTAAAAAAAAGAAGAGATAAACAGAAAAATTTAAAAAAGTATATACAAAAAAAAAAAAAATATTTTTAGGCCAGAGTTTTCTACAGGTATTAATGAATATTTTTCTTAATCCTCATAAGTTTTACTGTGTTTAATATTTCTTAATACCGGTAGCATTAATTTATACTTTTGTAGCGACACACTATTTTTATAAAACGCCACCACTTGGCTTGTCTTCGTGAAAAAAAGGGGGGGGGGATTGTGTGAGGGCGATGTGCTGACCCATGTACTGTATTTAAAAAGAGAAAAGTTATCTACTGTCACGCTTGCTGTGTGTTAATAAACAAAAAGGAAACTTGAGTAGTGTTGCATCTTCTGTAACGGTTGACAAAAGGCAGGCGAGGGATGTGTGGGGAGGGGGCAACACACTACTAAACGCAGGGGGTCCCCAAACTTGACAGTTTAAGACTTGTGGACTTCAACTCCCAGAATTCCTCCTCCTGTCATGTCAGCTCAGGAATTCTGGGAGTTGAAGTCCACAAGTCTTAAGCTTGCCAAGTTGGAAGACCCTTGTGATAGATGATGGATGGATGAGGAGATGATAGACAGACAGACAGACAAAGAGATGATAGATCAGGGGTCTTCAAACGTGACCGCTTTAAGACTTATGGACTTCAACTCCCAGAATTCCTCCTCCAGTCACGTCAGCTCAGGAATTCTGGGAGTTGAAGTCCACAAGTCTTAAGCTGGCCAAGTTGGAAGACCCTTGTGATAGATGATGGATGGATGAGGAGATGATAGACAGACAGACAGACAAAGAGATGATAGATCAGGGGTCTTCAAACGTGACCGCTTTAAGACTTATGGACATCAACTCCCAGAATTCCTCCTCCAGTCACGTTAGCTCAGGAATTCTGGGAGTTGAAGTCCACTAGTCTTAAGCTTGCCAAGTTGGAAGACCCTTGTGATAGATGATGGATGGATGAGGAGATGATAGACAGACAGACAGATGATAGATCAGGGGTCTTCCAACGTGACAGCTTTAAGACTTGTGGACTTCAACTCCCAGAATTCCTCCTCCAGTCACGTCAGCTCAGGAATTCTGGGAGTTGAAGTCCACAAGTCTTAAGCTGGCCAAGTTGGAAGACCCTTGTGATAGATGATGGATGGATGAGGAGATGATAGACAGACAGACAGATGATAGATCAGGGGTCTTCCAACGTGACAGCTTTAAGACTTGTGGACTTCAACTCCCAGAATTCCTCCTCCAGTCACGTCAGCTCAGGAATTCTGGGAGTTGAAGTCCAACAAGCCTTAAACGCTGCCAAGTTTGGAGAGCCTCGGCCTGAAAGGTGGGGAGAAACCGGGCCACATTTCGCCAAAGCAGCCAAGGGGGAAAGGGGGGCCCGTCCCCTCCCTAAAGCCAACGGGGGAGGGGCGGGAGCCTCGGGCCAGGGAGTCCCAGGACCGGCTCGCTGGATGCGGCGAGCGAAGAAAGTGTGCGCGCCTCTTGGCCGGTCTTAGCTGCAGGGAGAGAGAGCGAGAGAGGCGGAGAGGCTGCGGGGTGGGAGCGCTTGGAGGGGGGGGGGGGCTTTGGCTAAGCACCGCGTTGGGCCTTTTAAAGCGGGGCGGGTCTTCGGGGAGGAGGAGGAAGAGGAGGAGGAGGAGGAAGCCACCGCCCCGCCCGCCAGGTCAGCCTCCCTGCTCGGAAGCGGAGCGCAGGGAACGGGCCCCCTTGTCCGGCGACCGCCAAAAGGCTCGGGAAGCCGCGGCTGGCCCCCCGCCATGCAGGCTCAGCCCCCCTTGCACAGCGGCTACTTCCACCCGGTGCTTCGCTCGTGGCAGGCGACGCCCGCCGCCCTCCACGCCCGGCATCTCGTCTACCCGATCTTCGTCTCGTAAGTGCCCGGCGATCCAGCTCCGGCCGGGTGGGTGGATGGGAGCGGAGGGAGAAGAGGGCCGCCACTGCCAAACTGCGACGCCTCTTCACGGATAAGCAAGAGTTGGAAAGGGACCTTGGAGGTCATCTAGTCCAACCCCCCCCGCCCCGCCCAAGCGGGAGACCCGACCCACCACCGAGGGCAGCCCCAAATCTCTTCTTGAAGGCCTTTTCAAAGCTTCCCGGTGAAGCCCCCCCCCCCCCCCCCGAAGCTCCCCTCGGTCCGGGAGGCGCCGAGCCTGCCTGGGTCCCCCGGGGGTGGGGAGGTTGGGGGAGCCCGGCAGAGGCCTCGCGGCTGCCTTCGTGGGCCCGTCCGTCGTCCCGTCCCCGTCCCCCCCCCCTTGATGGCGCTTCTCCCTCGACTTTGACCCTTGCAGGGACAGCCAGGATGCCGTGGAGCCCATAGCCAGCCTGCCCGGCCAAGCTCGGTAAGTCGGCCTCGCGCTTCCTTGTCCGGGTGGGCCGAGGCGGGCGGCTGTGCAGCGGAGCCCGACTGCCCAGGGACGCCCAACCCCCCCGCCTTGCCTTGCCCTGGAAGAGGCTGCCCCCTCGCCGGGTTATCGGCGCGCCCTGCCTGCCCAGCCAGGCTCCCTTTTGAGGCCTGCCAGCTCTTCTTCCCATGAGCGGAGTGGAAAAAGGGGAGCCCAGAAGGTTTGGGGGGGTCTGGAGGAGCCCGGAGAGTAGAGGAGGAGGAGGAGGAGGAAGGAAGAGGGGGGCTACTTTCCTTGATCTCCTTCCTTGATTTTTTTTCCCCCTCCACCAGAATCACCTCTTAAGGCTGCTTATTTTTATTTTTTGAGGGGGGGGAGGGAAGGAGGGGGGAAAAGGCACATTTTAAAGCAGCTCGAGGCTGGTATGTGGGCGTGTGCGCCCCACCCTGCCCCACCCACCCTGCCTGGACCTGTGGGTGAGCTGGGAGATAAAAACGGCTTTCGGAAGAAGCTCCTTCTTTCCCCTGAGAAAACTTCCAAACCGGCTGCCCTCAGGAGATAACAATGTGTGGAAATCCCAGCCCAGCCCTTGGGAGATGGCCAGTGTGTGTGTGCGCCTGTTACCTCCCTCCGCCTGCTTGTGCAAAATAAAAAAAAAAATAAAAAGTGTGTGTGCATGCATGTGAGGGAGCCCAGAGTAGTATCTCTTCTCTCTCTTGCTGCTTTGGACCCCATTGTTAACTGAAGATTAAGGCAGAGGCCGTGCTGGCTGCCCAAGGTCACTTTTAATTTAAATTTTACATTAGCAGGCTGGAAATCTCTTGGGGGGACCAGAGTGGGATGGATCACATTTATTTTATTTTATTTTATTATTTTATTTATTTTATTTTATTTTATTTTATTTTATTTTTTATTTTTTTATTTTTTTATTTTATTTTATTTTATTTTATTTTATTTTATTATTTTATTTTATTTATTTATTTTATTT